GGAGGCTCAGAAGTGTGAAATGCAGGACTTCTAGACTGAAAAACTCTTTCTTTCCCTCTGCCATCAGACTCCTAAACAGCTGACTCAGGATCTACCTCATATAATTCCATCTGTACTGTTTACATACTCATTTTGCACATGCACAATTGCACACTCACTGCTGAGTATATACACTCATACTATACGCTCCCACGTAGCATATATTCTCTCTGCATTACATTGTGTTCTTCTATTTTTATTTGCTCCCTTCACTTGCTGCTTTAAAGTGCCTTAGATTTGTGATTTTACTGCCTATTTAGATTTATGTTATTGCTCATCTACTTTATATTTCACTTGTATTATGTGGCATTCATGTGGACGGCAAAGTAAGAATTTCATTGTACAGGGAAACATGTTTCCTAACTGTGCATATGACAAATAAACGCTTTGACCTTTGAAATGTCATCTTTGTCTGATCAACAGTTCAAACCCCAAAAATATTCAGTTTAATATGATATAAAGAGGAGGAGGGATTTTTTTTGCATAAACATACTTAAATTTTAATGGTTTAACCAATTACTAAAATATCTGCAGATAATTCTATGTCCACTGAGTTCATTGCAGCTCTACATCAAACACGACAATTTATTTGTTTACATCGCTTGTGGGCTTTGGGAAATTTTAAGACAATAAAGAAAACAATCATTCGTTGGAGACCTAAGGGAAAGTAGCACATACTTGTACTTACCTGACTCTATGATTGCATGCTTCTTTCGTTTTTTCTCACTCTCTTTGTGTTTCCCCTTTGTTTTGACCTAAAGCACATAAACTACAATGAAACTTTACAAATAAGATGATGTGGAAGAGAAAGGACGCAGAAGATAATTAAGCTGGGGTTGACTTCTGATTTGTAGTTTCTGATTCAGCAGTTAGAGGAAACAGATGAAAATACTGAGGGACTTCTGTGTTTTGTAATCCATTAGCTGTTAACACCTTAACTGTGTCTAAAACCCTCTTTCAAATTCCTGAAACCTGTATTTGATGGAATAAAAAAAAAACTGAGTAAATGCATTTTAGACCAGGTCTAGTTTTCAAACTCCACATTTATATTTGACAAACTTGGATGTGATTATCAAGTACAGTTTACCTGTTTAAGATATAGTTTGTGAAGCCTTTTTACTGTGAAAACCACATAAGAGCATTTCGAGTGCCCAGGGACAATATAAAGGATATTTAAAACGCATTTAAATTTGTGAACTGCAAACTAACTCGGGAACATTAGATAACATAATGTTCTTGCCTTGGTTGTCTCTTTATTTTTCTTTTTTGTTTCCTCATCTGAGGAGGGAGGGTTCTTCTTCTTCTTCTCGGCTTTAAAGTTTCCATTTGGGGCTGGTTTCTGTACCGCAGGCTTGGCTGATGTCGGTGTAAAGAACCGCCTAATGTCCTGTGCGTGCACACACAACCAGTTGACATGTTAATTGGCCAAGCACACAACTCTGCACAGCTGCCCACACTGAATGCAAAACCATGATTGACAGTTTTCACTTTGACACGGAGCGTGCAGGACAATGTGCGTAATTTAAACAACGAGCTAATATCAACTGTTACACGATACCAGAACAAAGATCATTAAACATTCCTCGCCGAATAGTTCTGACAGTCCTTGCTATCTTTAAATAGGCAAGTTTATGCTTTTTTTTGCTGCAGCTAACAGAGCACTTGACTTGCGTTCCAACTGCTGTTGGAAGCATATTTTGCAAGACAACTCTAATATTTTTTATCTTATTTAACCACTTTATTCAAAAGTACCACTTGGCGACTGAACTAACGAACAACTGAAGTGTGTAACGTACCATTGCGAAGACGTTTTCTAGCAGTGTTGGATCAAATTAGTTGGCAGATCTATAAGCAAATCTGCAGTTTGGCGCGAAGCAGGATTTAGTCGTCGCCTGGAGATGACGTACACCGTTGGCGTGCGTCACTCAACGTTACGTTATTTTAATTGGAGATATTGGAAGATTTAGGCTAAACAGAAACTGTTCTTGTGGTCGCTCTAATTCACATAAACTAGCACCATTTCACTTGTTCTTCCACTGTTTAACCTATTCTGGATTGATATGTAATTTTATTAGAAGGAACATCAAAACTAATGCACATAATTGTATGTATTGTTTGGGATTTGATTCGCTATGCACATTCCTGTTCGACTACACTACATGGTTGAATGGTTTCAAGCTGACACAATAAAATATAAAATAAACATGGACTGATGTGGAAGACCATGTGTCTTATTTGGCATGTCTGAGTGTAACCTTATATGCTCCTCACTTATATTTTGTGTTATGAAACATTTAAATGGTGCTGCTACATTCATGAGATGTGCGCTACAGATTCAGACAGATATCATTCACACACGGGACTGGTGCAAATACAAATTATAGTATGGACCTTGGCAAGGTGTGTTTTGGGGGTCATTGGTAAAGAGGTTCATGGGTATGTGGGTAAAGAGGGTGTGCTTGTGGAACTGTTTATGTGTTTTTATTGAGAAATAACAGTAAATCCGCAGTGTTCGGACAGAAGCAGTTTCTCCTTTTACAGACTATTTCCCCAGTCTTGGAAAAACCCTGTTCACATGGCACAGATGAGGGTAGGAACAGCTCCACAGTTGCCACCTGGAATGCAGCCAGCAGCTGAAAGTACAGGAAAATAGATACTGTCTGAATGCTTAAACTGTGTGGTGAACTTGATTTCATTGTTCAGTCTAGTATGATGCTCTAAGTGTGTAAACCTTTCTGCAATGACTATGCAATAAACCAACTAGACAGTCTGGATCCTACGCTCATTCATTTCTCTGGTTTTGTGTTCCATACCTTGATGCATTCTCCTGTGTTTTCATATTGCTGGCAGGTCAGAGGAGTCAGGTCTGTGTTTAGTGAAGCTAGAGCTGCTGCCACTGCATCTCTTTCCTCATAGAGGCATTGGAGCATGTCCAGGGTGCTTTTCCACTGTGTGTCCACCTCCAGTTTGAGCTTCTTAACATTGCGGCCCAGTTGCTGCTGCATTTGGCTCAGCTTCTCTTTTGCAGTTGTGCTTGTTCTGAAATATGTCACTATCCTCCTGCTCATGGCTCTAATTTCATCAAGGCCAGGAGTGGCTTCAATGGAGTTCTTGACAACAAGATTCAGGCAGTGTGCAATGCATTTACAAAGCCTCAAGTTCAAGGTGTTGGATGTAGCCGTCATATTGCTAGCTGAATTGGTCACAATGCATCGAACTCTGTTTAAGGTCCACATATCTGATGTGAGGCTCACAGTCTCGACACCCTGAATCTCAGCTTTGGCCTTCTCCCTGTCTTCTGTCTTCTTCATACTTGGCAACCACCATGTTCTTCAGAGCCTCCCTTGTTGGTAGAGTGTATGTGGGGCCCAGCTTTGCCGCAAGCTCTTTAAAACCAACATCCTCCACAATAAGATAATGCACATGATACAATGCATTAGGTTACATAAAAATACTAAGTGTTATTGAAATGAATCACAGGGCAATATAAAACAAACATACAGGCATAAGTAATCCTTTGTAATGTGGGGTCCCGCTTTGCCACAAGCTCTTTAAAACCAACATCCTCCACAACAGAGAACGGCTGAGAATCCTTGATGCTGAAGTTCACCAAACAGTCATCAATTTCTCGCTTTCTTTTGCCTGGAAGGGAGAATGTATACATTACAATGAATTAGGTTACATAACACACAGTATAGATACCGGCTTTCATCAGAATTAATTTGACAGTTCTAGGTGAAAGGTTATCCAATCAGAAGCGTTGTCCCACCCCCAAGTTCACCCCCC